CCCACCGGGAGTGGGCGCTCTCTGAGCGGCGGCTTCTCTCCCAGGAGCGGCCGCTGGGGCAGCCGTGTTCCGGCCCAGCCCCGGGGCGCCCCCGCTCCCCTGTCAGGAGTCCCGGTGCGGGGGTTTGAGCGCGTTGGTGGGAGCGTCGGGGTCGGCCTCGCCTTCCCCGTCCCGGTTTTGCGCTGCTTGTCAGCGTTTTCTGAGGGGTGCCTGAGCCACGAGGTGGTAAAAGAGGAGTGATGCAACCATGGCTCTGCTCTGATGGTTTGTTGGGAAGCTGGGAAGAAGCTGACCACAAAACTTGGGCGCTGCCACGTGAACCCTAATCACGTATCCCGGTTCAAGCCTTTTACCCCCTTTTAAAGGCGATGGTTTTGCCTGAAAAGCTGCAGCTGGTTTGAAATGACACATTTTTCTTGGGAAAGTGTATTTTACATGTGTGTAATTCCCATGTACTGTTAATGGGCACCGGTTGGTAGCCTTGCTATGTTTGTTTTGCTATGGAGAATGTTGTCAAGGGTTCAAAATCTATGACCTAGGCAAGTTCAAGCATTTGTATTTACTGTGAGTGAAACCTGTTTCCCTCCACTCCCTTCCCCTGAAGATGTTGGCATTTACACTGACAAAGAATTACTGTTCAGACTGTTTTTCCCTCCCTTGCTGAGTATGATGGTAAAACAAAGTTACTAAGACTTAAAAGGCATAATCTTGTGAATTATAAAGACTTGTGGTAATAAAAGCTTCAGCTTTAAAGGAAATTCCATTATGCTGTACAAGGCTGGACGTGGTCAGTTATGCTAATAGGCCTCAGTGTCTGGATACCTCTTGCAAGGTTTAGTTTGATTCACCTACAATTCCTTCAGGGGCTTTTAGTCTTAGTTTCATCTTAGAAGTATATCAGGTGAGAAAAAAAATGCTACATCTGATGAGTGTCTTAACTGTGTGCTATAAAAAGTGCTCAAAAAGAAAAGGGGGGAGGAACAAAACAAGCAGTTTGAAATAATACTTTTTTAAAAGTAATTTTTAACAAACTTGCTGCCCAACTAATGTTTCTGTTTCTCTTGGTGACATGTCTGAAAAGATGTTCTTTCTAAAGATGATATACATTTATGTTTTATGTCATTCTTCGATGTTACTTCTCCAAAGGGGATGCCTGAAACCTGTCTTGTAACATTTGCTGAGGTTCACAAATCTGTTGCTTGTCAGCTGTTCTTGCCTTTGAAGGACATGAAGTTCATTTGTATCCTGATCTGTTCTGAAACTGGGTTCCTCAGCTGTTGTCTGGTTGTTAAGAAAGTCTCCCCGCTTTTCAGGCCTATGGTGCCATTGCTCTGAGCACACTTGAAGGCAGACTGCAAAAATGGCTTGATAACCCACAGTAGTACAAGCTGTGCATAAGTGAACTCAGGCAAATCCAGTTGTGTTTTCTGGAGGTAAATACTCTTGTGAACCGTAATTAAGCAACTCATCAGGTTTCTTATCTGATGGTATCTCTCTGAGACAAAGGAAATGTACTCTTTAAAATAATTAAATGGTTTATTTGTCAATGCAGCAGTTAGATTCCATTGTATAAATGTAAAGATGTATGAAATGGAAGTTACAGCTGAAAAGGTAAAATCAACTTATAAAAATTTAATATTCCGACATGATATTTGAAGGAAGATAGTGCAAGCCATTCTGTATACTTAGGTTAAAGGATAAAACAGTTCTTCAAGTATGTCCAAAATCTGTTCTCTATGCAAAAGCTTAAGATGTCTCTGAACTCCTAACATGCAGTGTTTTGTTGAAACAAGAAGCTTTCTGCATATAGCCTAGGTCAGCGGTAGCCTGCGTCATCACCGATCGTGTTATATAGCTGTGACAGATTTAATTTTTTTCATGCATTACAGGTCATCTTAAACTTTCTACTAAACCCCTCTCCTGCCTCAAGCTAGAGCAACGAATAGAAATTATGGTCCTTTCTGTCAACAGCCTCGCTTATAACAGAGGACATAATATTCAGGCAGTAATTTTTAGAGGAAAAGTGTTTTCTGTTTAAGTTAGAGAATAGTTTTAGATGCCCAGTTATGGTTAGACAATAGGCTGTTATGTATATAGGAAGATAGAAGAATGGCAAATATGCTGCCTTTAATAATATAACTGAAATGGCCACACAAGAATTAAAATAATTGGAGAACCTGGAAAGAAAAGAAGCTGTTGAATTTTACAGCTAAAGAACTAATCTCACAGGTAGGTTTGAATCTGCTTTTTTTATATCCTTAAGTCATTTAAAGGTGTCCATGCACACTGGGGAGGTGGTAGTGAAGACTAGATTCAGATTGCAAGCAACAAGCATTTGACAGGTCTGCTAAGATACCAGGAAAATATGACTATGCTTATGTATCACCTCAGGAACTGAGAACAGTTTGTATCAGAGATGTTCCAAGACACAGTAAATAAGCTAATTATATTGAAATATATATCTTCAAAGAATTCAGTGTCTAGAAATGGATTCTATAAGGTTGTTTGCTCAGCCCCCAACTGAAAGTTAATTTCACATTGATCATAAGCTTTAATATCAACAACAAGGCTCTTATGGAACTATTTAAAGCATTTTTGGTCTGTTTTCTCATCTCGATGAACCTTTTTAGCAACCTCTTCCCTTCTACAAATAAGATGCCCTCCTTTTCTCCTCATCCAGTAATCCCACCCTCAGCAGTTAGCTTCTGGTCTTGCACTGTGAAATGCCACGATGCAGAATGATGAGCACAGATGGCTAGAAGACCAAACCACTTGGGAAAGGCCACAACATGAGGTTTTTGAACACGTAATTGCAGCTAGAGTGAACAAGGGGAGGCACAATGGTTTTGCAGAAGTTTATACTTTCTAACCTGCATCATACAAAAGCAGAAACTGGAGCATAGTGCTTTATTTATATTGAGGTTTTCATATATTTGGTTAAGTGGTCAAAGACAGAGGGATGGAAGAGCAAGCAGAAATTAATGTATCTTTACAGCAGGAGAGAGAGGAATGAAAGGCAAAGGGGAAAAGGGAGTTGAATGCTACTCCTTCCTGCTGGAGCCCTCGTTCTGCTGACCCTTGTACACGGAGCACATATCTGCTCTCTCGGGAGTGGTGGTGCCAGTTCAGTGTCTCAAGACCAATGGAAACAAAGGAGACAAAGACAGCATCTAAGCACTTTACATGGAACTCAGAATAAAAGTTTCAACAGGGAGAGCCAAGCAGATGGGCCTCATCTTGTTGCTCGGGTGTCTGTGGTCTAGTTTATAGTGAAGCTCGTGTACTGGTAGCCATGTCCAGTAGGAAACTAAATGTGTCCAGCCCATGTTTTCTGATCCCGAGGCCAACTGGCATGTAATGAGCTGCATCCATGCTATTGAACCCTGCAAAACAGGGTGGCTGCTGCCAAACTCCTGGTGGGGAACAGTGCCTCTGGTGGTTCCCAGAATCTGGGGTTTGCTTGGTGGGGAGCTAGGCTGCCTGGGGCAAGACTGGGCTAGACCTCCTGAACAGTGTAACAGTGTCAATGCCTGGGAATAGGCCATGTCACGTTTCATTCCACAGACATAACATGTGCCTGCCCCCTGTGTCTGTCTTTCTAGCAAAGGCATGAATCCTGCTAAGGCAGTAAGCAGCTATACTGGACTGACTATTTAAGATTAAGTATTTACAAGCTGTTTGTTTGTTTGTTTAAAATTAATCTTCCTCCCCCCCCTCCAGATTATAGATCTCATTAGCTTTGCAGGTAGTTAACCTAGAAGTAAGAAAACCCAGATAAGGGAGGGGCGTGTTAATATGTTCTAGATCACAAGCAAGAACAGTAAGTGCTCAAAACTACCTCATTGTTTTCTATGAAGGACTATTTTAATATTTCTAATTGCACCAACACCCCCAAAGTTACCATCCCATCTATATGTGCTTTCACCTTACCCCCTGCTTCTTTATAACAGCAAGAAAACCCCATCAAAGTACAGGTCAGTTATGAGTCCTGTACGTAACCTAATAGTCAGTGTGAGAAAAAAAAGTTTAAACAATGCCTGGTTTGCTTTTCAGCAGAGGATTTCTCTCAGTGCTACTAGGGAAGAAAATTGCTTTGAAATTGCTGAAGTAAGCAGTTAGTCCCTCCTGGTTCTCTGCTTGTCCTGTGCTTCTCTCAATAGGCTTGTATTGCTTGTATCTCCTGCAAGGAATGTGCACAGTTAGTTGCTGAAAGGCATTTAAATGAAAATCCACATTTAGTATATGGCCAGTGCATAAGAGGATTAATCATGTATTCATAACATATATTCTCCTCCTTCCCACTTCAATCCCATGTCATGATTAACAGCCATAGGTCAGTAGTGCTGACTAAGGCCTGCTTAATGAGAAGGCTCCATTACTTAGTGGAGTACTGTTGCTCTGTAGAGGTGTTTCTTTCTCATCACTGACTGTGAAGGTTGAGAATACTCTTGCCTGAGGAGTCTTGGTGCAATCTTAAAGTTTCATGAGAAGCATCCAAGCTAATGGTGCAGTAACACGTGCTTCTGTTAACTACTTTCCTGCATGCCCAGCACATTTTCCCCAAAGAATTTATTTGTTAATTATTTAATGAAGAATTTTGATGAGTAATTCTTGATCTGTCAGTCATTCACAAACACTTCTTGTAAGAGTTTTAGAGCTAAATTAAATTTCTGTTTGTTAGCTTTTACTACATATATAAATCACATCATGCGATTTGAGTTTGCTTACTGCTTACATCCTTACCCTGGCCTTCTAGTATTACTTTTTGTGCTTATGAGCACAGAATGTAATTTTCTATGAACATCTTTAACGTTTACATATTTTCCAATGTTTTTCAGCTTAAGACAGTAATCTGTTTTTCTTGAATATTTACCAGAATATTTGTGAACAACAATAACAAAGAAACAAAAATACAGCTAACCAATGAAAATTAAACTGTTGTTTTTGTTAATTTAAACTGATATTTCTGACAGTTCCTTGAACCGTTTTAATCCTAGAAATCAGCAACTTACTTGTAGAGGACAAAAGCCCCAATGGCAGCAAACACTGCCAACAAACCAAGGAAGATAAAGACACCTTCTGTTGTTCCTGATGATGATCCTGGAGTTCAGAAAACAGTTTGTTTAAAAGTTAGTCTCGTTTATACAGTGAGATAGATTTTCTAAAGAAAGCATCATTTTTACTTTATTGCTGTACAGATTGAAGCACACTTGATACTTCTAATATGCTAAGCATTGGAGGTCAGTGACTTTGGGAGGAGGTGGTGCTTTCACATCCTACTCAATCTAATTCTCATTTCCACCAGAGTGTGAGTTGGGCTTTGCCAGTATTCTCACATGAGCCATGCTCCTGAGACACATGGCTGCCCTTCCAGCATGGAAGGGAACGGAGGCTCTTGCTGGCATCCCACAAGGTGAGGCCTGATTTGCTCCTTGCTGATTGCTCTTACACAGAGAGTTTAAGGTATGCAGTCTCTTTATAAGCTCTCATGTTAGAATCAGCTTCAGCTTTCTCTTAGGGATGATGACCAGGAAGAAAGGAGATAAAAAAGGAGTTTCTTAAATGTTAGTGTTACAGTCCCATATGCTAAGGTGGCAGAGTGTGGCGGAGAGCTTGGTGGATTTAGGATTGTTTGCCTTATCTAAGAGCTAAGGGATCTGTTTTTTTAAATATGCTCATTCTAGGAAATTACTTTTGTGTTTTGCCTGTCATTGAAGTCTTTCTTCTGGTTTCCTGTCAACCATTTCACTCACATCTACTCCTAATTCCACCATATTTGATGGAAGAAGCCAAATCATTACAGGTATTTTTAAAAAATTTGTGTTAAATATCTTAATTTTCCAGTCCACAGGCTGTACCTTTATTGAGTTTACTGACACTGAGTCATACTCTTGGTCCTCATATTAGCAACAGTGTTTATACAGTGAAGTAACCTAGAGGTGCATGTTGGCTTACCTTTCCAGTTATTAATTTATAATTGCTGCCCATGAAAACTGAGATACTAGATCAGGGTTTATCATTTACTTGGTACATGTGCCTCATATATTTCTCTGTTTGTTGATACAATTGCTTGTGAAGGATTGACCTCATTCTTTGTTTACAATATTTTTGCCAAGACCGTAGGGATTTTCTTATTTTATGAATAAAGCAGGTACTTGGACTAGTTTGCAAAGCAACACATACTGATGGTATGGGTCTAAATCACAGGACTGCAACCCTTTCAACAGCAGCTTAAGCAAGTTAAGAATGGATGTTTTGTGCATTGGCTACATAACCCAGGCACAGTCCTGCCAAATTTCAAGGGCCAGATGTTTAGGCACAAATTATGGGATTTTCAGAAATTCATAAATACTTGCCTCCTCTTGAAATGAGTGGAAAATTGTGGCACATGAGAAATGTTTGCAAACATTAGATGGGCTCCTCCAGAAGGTGACTCAAAGCAGTAAACTCTCTTTGACCCGAATTCTGCTTTGATTATAGTGGAGGTCCAAAAGTACAATTTAGCTTTGCCCTCTGAAAGAAACCTAGGAAGACCAGCCTTGGGCTAAAGTTAGCCTTTGTGAATACAGTTTTGAAAAAATCTACTGCATGCTTATTTTCATTTTTAGGGACTGGAATGCACTTAGACATCAAGCGTTGTGCCCTAGTCATCATGAACTGGTTTTGATACAGCTAAATTTATACCTAGATTAAATAAAATCGGCCAAAAGTACTGTGGCAAAAGATCACAAAGGGTTGGTTGCTTGGCTGATAGTAATTCAGAAGAGTCATATTGCAGTGGGAGGTCAGGAGGGCAATGGAGTGGGAGCAGAGAGACAGAATGATCATTCAGATTTCTGGCTGAGGTGGAGTTTAATACCTGGTTCTGTCAAAGACTGCTTGGATAACCATGAGCAAGACACAGTGACACTCATCCAACCAAAGGTAAACCTCCTGTTCTGAAATAGTCACCCTGGGCGAACTCTGTAGTCAGTGAATGTTACACAGATCTTTCCAGAATCTGATTCATCTTATCCTTATGTAGAAGGAGATACCTGGTCAAAGTCAATGGGCTACAAAGGGCCATAGCAGCCACCTCAGCTGCAGACTTTGATTCTGTCTCAAGTGAGCTGAATTCCTCTCCGTTTCTCCTATTTCTCCATGTGTGGTGGAGGCTGGCTGCCATGTCCCCCACCTTCTTTTCTGCTCAACAGAGTTATACTGTAGAAAAATACATTATGGCTTAAGAACTGTTCTTATTCTGTGATACTGAAGGGTTTATACAATTACTCACTGAATCATAAACATCAATCAAACCAAGTTATAGCATCTAAAATTCCTGTAGTGAAAGAATTGTCTCGTTATCTTTGCATGGACTCTCACACAAGCTGGCACAGTCTCAACTGAGGCCTCCAGGTATAATAAAAATCCCACATAAATTCCTGTGCTCTTCCCCTCTGCAGAGAAATGACCACAGGGAGATGCTATTCACAGACGACCCACATCTGCTCTGTGTGGACTCACCTCCATTTACTGAGATTAGCGCACTGGCAAGGGCTTGACTTGTGTCATCCCCCAGGGTGATGTTTATGCAGTATGTTCCAGGTTCCTCAAAAGCTCTCCGGATGGTGAGCAGGCATTCGTCAGTGACAACGATGGGGTCGCATACTACACTCTTGGACACCTGGCATGTGGGGTCAGAAACTACTGTGCAGACGTCTGTGGGGAGGCTGGGATGGGAAGAGAGAACACACTGCATCTGTGGAGTCCTGTTAGCCCACTTCATAGACACATTGCACTGATACCCCAGTTTTATGCTGGTGCCTGAAATCAGTGGCACTATAGTGATATAAGAGTGTTTTATTAATACATTATATATATTTATTTTTTTTTATACATGCCTATATATTTTATATATACATACATATGAATTTTATATAAAATGCATATATACAATCTATTAAATTATCTGCTTGTTTTATATATCATGTAACATTTTATGGTGATCACAGAATTACCTGCTTCAAATCAGCTTATAAAGTCTATTACCTTTCATACACATCATTAAGAAAGGCATGAGTAGTCTTACATGTAGTATCATGTGCTAAAAAAGTAAATGCTAAGACAGGTAAATTGTTTTCCAGTTGCATTACTGAGATGATTTTTGTACTTCTCAGTCCTCTCAAATCTGATTCTGTTCTAAGAGCTAGGAATATTAGTGCAAAGTTTTCCTATCCAAGAAATTGCTTGGACACACACATTTACTTTAAGTGTCAAAAAATCATGGCCAAAAAGAAAGGGTTTCCTTCCAATTTCAGTAGACTGCTTCCCATTTTACAGTAAGTGCTGAAGTCTTGTCTTGGCCAGGAAAATATAGAATTGTTTCTCCCCACTATCTAGTTCTTATTTTTACTGAGGTTTGACATTTGTTCTGAATCCTAAGAGCCTGGCAGTAACCTCTGTTGCCATAGTTTACAAATGAGACTTGCATTATCTTTAGTTCCAGTCAAGAAATAGAAACACTGCAGTTCCCAACTTTTGTTCATGCAGCTCCATCTAAGTGCAGACAGTGTTCCAGCACCTAATTATTTTTAAAGAGGAAAGACTGACAGTTTCATTCACACACTTACCTCCCTTGGCAGGTAACAACAAAGTCAACCAGTGAGTTTTCAGCTTGACTTTCTGTCATCTGGATGCTCGTCATCTGAATAATATTTACCTCAAGGATTCCCTCTGGGCGAGGAAACAGATGTCAGTGATAGGACACATGACAAGCTCTGAAGTCTGCGTGTACAAAACCCCAAGTGTTTGGCTGATGCTCAGTTCAGGTCTTGCTTTCCATAGCCTCCTCCCTCCCTTAGCACTCCTCCTGAAGGGTTTGAAAGCTGAGAAATTTTCCAGTGCTTTCCCTGTGAGGCTGCTCCTATCTGCTGTTTTATTTTTCCAGTATTATTATTTTCTTACTTATTTTACTAAATCACTCCTCCATCCCACTACCCATGACTTGTGTGCATGCCAAGGTCAATTCAGCCTTTCGTGATCCCCCAGGCCAGTATGCTTCAGGTGTGGCATGTGCAGAAGCTGATGATGCAGAAAGTAGTGATATGGTGCACAGCCCCACCAGCCATTGTCCAGCCCAACTCTCTGGAAACACCACTTGTAGCATGGGGGCAGCCATCAGCAGGCATCCAGACTAAGGCCCAGCCTCATGCACCTGAAGCCAAGGGGCCATAACCTCTGCCACTAGATCGTGGCAGAACATGTAAAGAAACCAAAGTCAGTCAGTTAGCTGTCTGTACATTAATCTTTTAAAATGTCAGCTAAGTCCAAGAGAAGGATCTTATTGTGGGTCTCACGTAGTTCATAAAAAGGAGCTTAAATAAACATTATCTCTACTATACATTGTTGTACATTATTAACCTCATTACTCTGGTTAGGTGTTGACCCATACCCTTACCTACAACAGAGATACCAGTTCTGTAGTAGCCATTTCTGTAAATATGGCAACCTCCATCAGGATTATCTTCCATTGATTCAATGGTGGCAGAAGAGTCTAAATTAGAAGATGCTCCGGTCGTTACTGTTGAGTTGAGGGAGAAAGAATAGATACTCAGCTCTAGAACAAGTTCTGCTTAGAGACATTCTCAACATGGCCATATGTTTCAACTGCATTCATTATATAGGTCATTAGTGACTTTGGTTTGCAGCTGTGCAGTCATGTATGTATCTCTGTGGGATCATGGTAATAATCCTTAAAGAAAACACACATGCCCAGCTGTAGAACCCTGGAATGACCTGGATAGCCTCACTCTAAAAGCCACCTTGCTAGTCTCCCACCTCTGAAATAAAAGTGAGACTGCAAGGTTTGATATAATTAAACACTTCTTTAAAATTCCCAAATCAATTATAGAAGAAATTCAAAGGCCAATAAAAAGTTTAAAATGCTCTCTTTAGAAGCAGGTATTTTCCTATTGCTCTACATTACAGCTAGTGGAGAAATGAAGAGGGGAAGTGGTAAAAATTATATCTTTCCTTTAATTTTTCATTCTCAACATTTTGGTAAAAGAACATATTAAAATTCTGAAATTTGAAAAATATAGCCACAGTTACAATTTAATAGTAGTAGCATTACAACACCCAGGCTGAAACGGCAGGCCTTTTGCAAACCCTCTGAGATGATAAACCAGTGCTGAACATAATGAAAGTTATTCTGAAATATGATAGTGCATAAATTTAAAGTGGAAAAGCCATTCTGGGTTAATGCCATATGGAAAATCCATATTTGGAATATGAGTAAGTTTTTTCTAGTTCAATCCAATCTCATTTAATTTTGTGTGGAAGTTAATGCAAACCAGAAAGAAACTGGCTATAAGAGTATTTTGAAATACCTCTTTCTTACTTAAAATTTATATCTTGCCTCAAAAGATGACCCTGCAAAGGCAAGGCTAAAACCACCTGACCTGGTGTGGTAGCGGGTAAAAAACCAAATTTATACATACAGCATGTCCACCTGAAGACTTCTCTATGCTGTCACTGTGGTGGTAGAACTGGAATGTGTTAAATGTGTAAGTGATGCTTACCACAGAATCATAGAAGAGTTTATGCTTATTGATTCCATCTCTAAACCCATTTATAGACGGTTTGCAGAGCCTTGCAGCTCTTTCACTGATGAAAGTAAAACTCCTAAAGATATGAACTTAAACCAGCAGAAATTAGAGGTTTAGCACAGCTCTTAACATCACTGCTGTTTGATAATCTCTTACCTGCTGAAGTGGGCAGTGGTGCAGTGGGTGTTACTGGCCTGCAAGGTATGGGTATAATGGCTTGGACAGTTACATTCAGAGTGAAGTTTCCTTGCAGAGTATAGGTGTGAGATGTAGTGGAACTGCTGACTACAAATAAGCCACTTCCATCTCCGAAGTTCCACTTGTAGGAGATGGCAGAATTATTAAGATAGTAGCTGGGGTCATGGATCTTCACATCAAATGTGATTGGTGAGTCTTTGATAAAAATGGAGTCTGAGATGTTCCGGTCATGTTTTTGGTACATACTCACAAATATGGGGATTTTGTCTGGAGGGGAAAAAAGCAGTAATAAATAAATGAAGCATATATACCTGGCTGCAAACAACAAACAGCTCCAAAGTCCCTGAACAGCAACAGTCAGAATGTGAAACATTTATATCTTTAACACAGGTTTCTACTTTAATTCAATTTACTGATCTGGGGAGTGAATGTCAGTAGGAAACAGTTAGCCAGAAAAGTGTGGGAATAAATGAGGAATCGCAGGCATCTGTGGAAGATTGCATTCCCTCTTGTAAATAATTTTTCATTACAAAGTAGAGGTGTCACAACTGAGCTAGATACAAAGCTGAATTACACTACTCAAGGCAATTTACTAGAGATTCCACATTTATATTAAAAACCTTTCTCAGGCCAATGTCTTCTTTTTGTGCCAGATGATGCTTGTGATGAATTCTTTTAACACCTAAACAACAAATACCTCCAGTATTTTATAACAGTTTATTCCAGCACACTCACCTGTTATAAAGTAAAAGGCTTTTGCTCTTGCAATGGGAACGTATGCTGAATTCCCCCTCCTGTAGATGGATACTGCCATTACATGTTTGCCAAGAGTGATGTTTGCTGTGTTGACTGAAAATGTTATGGAAGATCGTCCAGTTGCTTGGTGGTACTGACCTGAAAGAGAATGTGAACTTAGATGTTTTCCCCTTCAGCCTAGCTACAATTTGTTTTAAGAGAAGCAGTTTTTCTGTGATTCTTGGCTTGTCTAAATCAAAATTAATAGTTTAGAATTGTCTTTCAGTTATCTGGAAGGTGTTTTTGGAGGACTGGATACTTTTACAATGCGTTTACTCCCATTATTTCTGTGTTTTTTCAAAGGTGTTGGAAAGATGTCCCAAATTTCACTAATCTAAGAAAAAATTGCCAAGGCATCTATATCTTTCCAAAACAATTACATTACGTTAAGTCATGAAGATTATGTAGCAGATGATGTTAACTCCTAGGCATTTTAAGCGATCTTGTGCCTCATACCCTAGAGCCCTTTGTATACATTTGCTTATTTGTCTTCGTAACAGCTGATTGAGGCAGATAAATAGTGTCACCTCTACGTAAAATTTGGGAAATTATTATCATTACTCATGTTGATACTGCTGATAATACTGATTTGGCCAAGCTAACTTAGGATACTAAGATTTAGTATGTAGCCAATGTCAGGAATAGCCCAACCGTTACATACCCAGGAGCTGGGAACACTGAAAATCAGCATCTGAAACCAGAGCAGTACCACACAGTCACTGTCTTTTTTCACCTCCCCAGAAGCAAGAAGTGCTGTGCTATTAAATTGATCTAAAGATATACAGCGCTATGGTCTTTCTTAAATTTAAGAATCTGAAGTGGCAGTGACCAGTCAACAGATCATCTGACTGACCTGCTCAGACCTTCTGCTTTCCTAGAAAAAGATCTTGAGTACTACTGAAAGGACATTAATTTTCTTCAGTGGTAGTACTGTGAATGCAGATTTAAAGACAATCTCCTGGTAATCCATGATTTCCAGACCGAGCAGCTGATGGCCTTTCTGGAAAGCGGGGAATGGATTCGGGATCTCTGCTCAGGAGTGTGGAATCCTTTTTAAAGGACTTTTAATAAAACACACTCGACAAGTGAGTTAGTCTACAGAGTGAATTTGCAGTGTCAGTCAAACCAAGGGATGTGTTGCAGTACTAACCAAATGTGTGAAACACGTAGACAAAATTCCTTCTCCTCCAGCCAGGATAATGAGGGAAAGGTCTCCCGTCTGGAAATACGTTATGGCTGTGGTTGCTTGTGCAGTTTTCCCAGCCACAGTTGTCAATCCATTCAGTCCAGTTGTAGACATAGACTTGCTGATCCTGGGAAGCTGGAGGATCTAAGTGTAGAAATAGGACATGTTCCCGGTCAATGGAGAAATGTGCAGAAAGTCAGGAAACAGGAGGCAGGCACCCCAGGTTAGAGCAGTTACTGCACTTAAAGAACAGACTAAGTGGGGTATTTTTAGACCGACATTATTTTTTTTCTAGGATTGTTTAGTTTTTAATGTAAACAACAAATTGTTCGGCTTGGCATTGTTTTATTTAGAAGCTTAAAAAAAAATTACTGCCTCACGGGCAGGACACATTTTAAAATTCCTTGCCCAAAACTTGCTGTCAACTAGGATGATACTGTTTCACTGGAGTTAGTGAGGCTACCTGAGCATTTGGCAAGCAGAATATAAAATTTTAAGTAGAAATAGCAGCTGTGGTAGCACAGAGAGGAAGTGATTTAGTTTGTTTTCTATAGCACCTTTAAATAACTTAGACATGAATTTCAGTTCCTTTCTGAATAATAGAAAGTTTCCTTCCGCAAACAGCACAACTGATATTAAGTAGAGAATGGATATCAGCAGTTAACAAAACATTACAGTCAAAAAGTAGAACTCAGACTGACAAAAAAAAATGCTGATATGCCTTGAAATAAAAATTACTTTGATCAATAAAAAATTCTTTTGAACGTTTATGAATTCAGAAGAAGAAGGTACAATGGCCAGTTTCACTCTAGACCCAGCAGCTTCAAACACTGGAATTATGATAGGTTTTTTGCCCCGTGTAACAGTAAATACGATGAAAAAATGTGATCCAGGATCAAGGATCATGGCTTGCTTGATTTTAGATTATTTATTTTCTTTTTTTTTTTTAAATTCTTAAAATGTGGGAATGTGAGATTTACTCTTTCTTGAGGGTTTTTCAAGATGCAGATGATGGTTAGTGAGTTCCGCAATTCCTAACTGAAAAAAAAATTCTCAACTTTATACATTGACATCCTTATAAATTTGGAAGAAAACATTGTGACTGAGCTGAAAAGCAGTAACAGTTTTGTTAGGAAGCCAAATTAATGTCACTGTTTTGGGAAGGCAATTTTATAGTGAAGGCAAATCTTAAATTACCTGGTCGTTATATATAGCGGGTGTAGAAGAGTAAAAATATCACAGTGATCTTCTGAGGAAAGAAACTGGTGTGGCACAGGTTAGACATGAGTGTAGTTATCAGTTAAAAGCAGCATGGCTGTTGTTCATACGGCGTGCCTCTGATGTTTTCAGAGATTCATAACATGTTCACGTGAGCGCCATAGTCAGACGTGTGTACAGTGCAGGGAGATTGCCATTACCTACCCTGGGTACAGTTTCTCTCGTATATTATGTTGCCATCGTTATCTTCTTTCTGGCACTTGGGAAACTGGAGAGTCACAACAAAGGTCACATTGGATCCTACCAGTGCTGGGCTATCAGTGTCCAATTTGGCTGTCACTCTTCCACCTGTAGAAAAGAAAATTGGTGTTCACTGTACTAAGGGATGCACCAGAGCTGCAGCACCTTCAACTGTGCACTATTTACATTAGAAATGCTTTATTGATTCCTCTGTTTCCAAGTGGTTTTGTGCTCCTAAGTCACTTGCACTCTTATCAAAACCCCAACTTGAACAATCAGAGGGACTCACCATATCGCTCTACATCACTTACTGGTCTGTCATTCATTTCCTTCTTAGAGCTATGTTTTTTCACCCATGAGGTCAATATATTCCAAAGGAGAGTATTTTTGGTTGTCCCCCAGGGATACAGCCTTTAGACCTTAGCTCAGACCAGGTGATAATAAACAGGGTCTTCACAAAAGTTGTCAAACTGAAGCCCACAGTGCCCGACTGAGGTAGCAGTTGAAGTCACCCATCCTCTAGGGCGTATTTCAAATAATGGATTTTCTTAGAGCCCTGGTCATCAATGCTTATTAAGAAGTATTAACATCTGAGACTATGAGTCATGGGAAAGCATTTACTGTAACAACTCACTGTTCTGCTTCCTCAGACAATGTACTGGGAATGGTACCAAAACCAGTCATCTCTAATTTGCTATTCCTTGCAGCACTGACGGATATTGCACCTGTGAAAAAAGTACTATAGCACCTGCACTCTTCAATGAAGTGGATTTTCTGGCCAGTTTTCTCAGTGTCTTTGAAATACGTATGTGCAATCACCTTTCCAGCAGTCCTTCCATCTGGGATCACCTTCTTCCCAGAAAGGATAAAGCTTTTCATCCCATTTATTTTGATCACTTGACCAGCCTTGTAACTTCTTGTAGGGTGTAACAGGAGAAGTTCTTTCATGGCTCAGCACATCTTGAAATCCTAGAGAGAAAAACAAACATGCATTTTCCCTATCACCCTATAAAGATGCTGCTCTTGTGCTGAACAGCCTTCGTATTATGACTGTATTGTTGTACTGATTAGAAAACTCTTCATCAGTAGAAAGTTTTGGAATTTTATCATCACAGCTATAAACACATCAACTGTAACCAACATAAAGACAATTCCACCACTGACAGACTGATGTTTCTCTATTTGCACTATTGCAAGCTTTCCAGAGAAAAAATAAAAAGTTTTACAACATTTTGACCATATCAGAGCAATTGTTTGTATGAATGGACATAACCCTGCAACAACTAGTTGTACAGAGGTTGCTTGGTTGCTGACTGCTTTATGCTCGCCTGGTAATAAATCTAAGAGTAAAAGGCTAACTCTGTGTCTGAGTTGTACTTTAGTGGAAGTTATGACAGTAAAGCTTCTCTGGTGAGTGGGCTGGTGGTTTGGGTGGGAGGACTGGAAGCAATTGGAGCAGAAGCTGGTTTTTCCAGAGAAGGAAATTTAGAGCTGAATAGTAAACTCAATGTGTTTATAATATAACAACAAAAATATATTAGCTTCATGCCTATTACTTTAAAATGGCTCGGATACTAAATAACTTTAATAACCTCTTTCTTCTCATATTACTACAAATGACGGGCTCAAACTTTTCCCAGACCTTCTAGGATCCCTCTTTCTGTCACAAAGTACACAAAATGAAAAGCAAAGTAAATGCCCAAGTAACCTGTAGGAACATGTAGGAACACTGTAGGATGCCATAAAAATATGTTTGTAAGTAGGCTCATAGGCAGAGTTCCATTAAAGCCCGGGGGGCTTTAACCAACTCTGTCATGTTAATCAGGTAACTGCTGGGTGTGCCGTTCTGTCACAACATCAAGGGAGTTAGGATTTCTGCTTTTCATGGCTTTATTTTAAAGGTAGCTGATGCTGAATGCTTCTGAGATTTATACCCAAGTGCAACAAAGAGCTGGATGACTTCGGTGGAAATGCAGAGACCTGTAAGAAGGGCAAGAATGGCTCTGTGTACTGTAATGTAACTGGTTGTGTTGGAAATTCTCTGAGTTTTGGAAAAGGCACAAAACAGATATAGCCAGTTTAAGCAAGGTCTTTATGGGCATGTGACTCCTAATTTTACTGCAAGGGAGAACCAGAGAAACAGCACCGAAGAAGAAGAAGCAGGAGCTGTTTTCTCTTGATGTTTTATTGTCCATGAGACTTCTGCTGGGCAGGAAGCACATCCCTTGGCCAGTCCCATCTCAATGGTCACTCTGAACTGATGCTGGTACCAAAAGGTTTGAGGACTGAAAGGTCTGAGGAAAAGAACAGATTTTACACTAAGAGACATACTCTCCCACGGTCTTTTGCTCTACAGGAACTCCCCACAGTCTCATTTAAATCACTTGAATCAAGCCTTTCCTGCAGATTTAATATATTTTGATGTGAGCAAAGCATAACATCATGACTGGTATTTACTTAATGGCCTGTATCACATGCTGTATTGTTTTCAGTCTTGGTCAGAAGAAGAGTTTGGTAATGTTGTCCTTCAGAAACTTTTCTCAGGAAAAAAAACAAATTAGCAACTATAAAAGTATTTCACAAAGGCTTATCAAGCTCAAATACATTTAAGGTCATTAAATTAATGTGTCATCTTATTTGAAAGTAAGTGGCTAGGGATTTTTCCTGTCTTCTTTTTCACATTCTCTTTGATTTTATCTAAAAATTATTTTATGAATAATGATGTTTTGATTTTGTCAGATCAGAACATTTCAGTCCTTATTTTTTTCCCCAAAGGCTCAATTTGTCAAAAAGAGCTGGGGCACTTTTAATTTTATAAATGCTTTTAATTTTGAATTTTCAATAACAATCCTTGAATTCAGAAATCATTTTCTTGTCCAGTTTTGGTAATAACTGTGGTCACTGCTTCTAAATCACAGGCTCCTTAGGCATTTCTGTGCCTCCCTGATGTGCTTTGTTTACTTCAATCAAATAGAAAACATTTCACAAGCTTCAGGACAAGACAAAGACATTTTTTCAGATGAGCAAAGACTTCAGCACTAGTTTCCCTAACACATGGAACTGAAGATTTTCAGTTGCTGAATTTAAAGGAACGAAACGCTTTAATGTATTTCTTCTTCAACAATGAAAAACACTCAAGAACAGATGTTGGCTATAACCAAAATTAGAGCAATTCAGTTCAAAATAGACAGAGTAATATTACACTCTAAGGAACTGATTACTGTAATAGTTTTGGTGAGATGATCATAGGAGAAAAGATCTTATACTCTGATTGACTTTCTTCTTTTTCATTCTGGTTTTCTTTCTGGTGAAAAATGTAGCAAAGACAAGAAGTTCAGTATTTCCTGTGATAGCATGTTAGCCATGAAAGAGAGGACGAAAGCCAGTGTTAGAACAACAGCAATACAAAGATGGCCCAGCTAAATGGCATAAAAGTGTTTTAGAAGTAAAAAGGCTGATGTAATGGCCAAGCTAAGAAGATGGAAAATAATGTAAACTTTCTAAAGTTACATACAGAAACATAATAAAGCAGAACAAAAAAAGAATTTGAGGAACAACTTGCAAGAACATAAAACCTACTAATTAATCTTTTTTTTCAAATACAAAAGTAGTGGAAAGCTTGCCAGACAATCTATAGGGCCAAAAGATTATGTAGATATGAAAAAAAGCTTTCAGGGAAGATAAAGGGATGGCACAAAAGTCAAATACGATAGTTTACATTTTCATTCACAAAGGAGGAGCATAAGAAATTTCTATGCTAGATTTTTTTCTTTACAATGATGGAGAATCTCTCTCAAAATGAAGTGTTGGCACAAAAAAAAAATATAGAACAAATCAACAAAATGAAGTTGTCTAGATAGGATGGCTCAAAAAGTATGGAAGCTATTCAAGAATGAAATAAATGAGCTATTAAACATAGCATGTAACATCTTGCTTAAAAATGCCTCAGTAGCCGAGAAATAAAATTTGGCAAATGTGATGACAGTTTTTAAAAACCCTTCCAAGGAAGATTTAGAGGATTACAGAAAGTTTGAGGCTTAAATTGGAGGAGCTGGTAGAAACAGCAGTGAAGAACAGAATTAGCAGATACAGTGGATTAATATGATATGCTGTAAAAGGAGTGCATTCCTCAGAAATTCTGAGTTTCACTGAGGGAGCCAGAGAGCATGGGAACAAGGCTGACCCACTTGTTATAGTCTGCTTGAGTTCCAGACAGCATTTGATGAGGTTCCTTGCTAAAGGCACATAAAGGAAATAAGTTACCGTGGGATAAGAACGAAGGATTTAACCTGAATAAATATAATTAGTTAGGGTATATGAACCAAAAGTTACAAATAAGTGGCCAGTTTTATTAATTGTTGAAATAAATTAAAATATTCGTAATCTGGAAAAGTGGTAAACAGTAAAGTTCTTCAATCTGCTGAAGACAGCATCTTAAAGTAATAGAGGGGAGGACTGAATGAGACTCAATGATTCAAGAATAAAACTGTATGAAATTCAGCATAGTTAATCTGAATAGTTAATATCTTTGCTTAAAGAACAAGGGACTCTAAACTAGCTATTGCCACTCAGAAATGAGATCTTGTAGCTTTCCGGTTTTGAATGCAGTGCTTACTGGTAGCTGAAAAGCTAGTAAAAGGCTAGATAGAGAACAAAGATGAAAATGTCATTACAGCATTGTGTAATTCCATGTGTGTTCATGTCTTGAATACTATATATTGCCCTCTTCTCTGTAGCTCAAGCAGGGTATAAGAGAACTGAAAATATACAAGAAAAGTGGTGAGGGTACTAGAAAGGGATAGAATTGTTTCCACATGAGGAACAGCTAAATAGACTGTGTCTTGAGCCCAGAGAAGAGGTAACAGAGAATATAAAAGCGGAATCATGAACAGCAGGAAGGAAGAAGCAATTTGACACTATTTCTGAAAGTATAAAAGTTAAGGAGAATCAAAGGAAACCAGCAGGTTCTAAGCATATAAAAGGTATTTCTTCATGTAAAGCACAGTTAACGTGTGAGATTTCTTGCTGGCAGGATGTTGTGTGTGCCAAAAATTTACACATGTTGCAATCAAAACTCAATTGCATAAACAGGTAGAAGAAAAGTTCAGTAAAAACTGCTAAATACAATGACTCTGCATCTGACAAGAGGCAGTTCTGGTGCTATAAATCACCAGAAACTGGGAAAGTGTCCTGAGTAAATACCACTTGCCCAGTTATACATCCATTACTGTTTCCCATTGCAGACAGGTACAAGGCTAGGTGGATGCTCTGCTGGACCTCAGCTTTTTAGGTCTTCAGTTTCCTTACTGTAGGTTCTGGAATTTGAGCCTGAAATCCCATTCCTGGGTTCCCAGCCCTGAGCTCAGGGAGTCAACCTAAGACTTGAGTCAAGCTGGGAGCCCAGAAAGAAGCAGAGATCCATCCCAGTGCCTGCCCAGCATGGCTTGAGGATCGAATTCCTCGACTCGGCTCCCTGAAGTTGGGGATCCACAGGTCTGGGTGTCCCAGCAGGGAGCACAGCCTCTGACCCAACCTCCCCCAGTTACAATTGAGTAGAGCAAACTGGGAGAAGTCCAGTCTGCACCTGGCTTTTTAGCCACGCCTGAGCTGGGGAAATATTGTTAGAAATTTGTTAGAATGAGCCAAGGCTTAGCTCTGGTCGTCTATGTGTATCCGTGGAGCGCAGGAAATAGATAACTAAGCAGTTCTTGGCATATTTCTCCATCTCAGGTGACATTTCTACCCAGAGCCAGGCAACCCTGAGGTGGAGGTAGCTGTCGCCTACCAGTTCCCAAGCACAGCTCCAGCAATCGCTGCCTGTGCAAGGAGCAGCAGTTTTTACCACACTGGCTCGGGACATTGAACCTGCGGAGGCAGGGAGAGAGGATGGGGTGAAGGAAGCACTCACGTGTGGCAGCAGCACACAGCACCACTTCGGCCAGGAGCAGGAATCCGAGGTGGCGGCGAACACCGCTCATGGTGCCGGAGACCCTGCGTTAGCTCAGCCCGCGCAGAGGGTGGGTGCCTGGTGCCTGCACACGGTAACTCCGCTGGTCCCCACTGAGAAGTGAGAATGAAGTTTCTCTGCTGCTCTGCTCTCCGATTAAATGAAGGGCCCCAGGACTCATCATGTGATGGAATTAAGCAGAGATGCATGATTGTGTCTTTAGCTTCTTTCAGCTCATGTGCTTATGACTCACTCCTTTTGCTTTCAGCATTCCCTAGGATTTCTGGGAGACCTGTTTAGAGCCACACCATTTACCTCGCAGGCATTTTTTACTAGTTTTGCACTATGATCAATTTTTGTACTTAATTTATTTTTAAATTAGGAATGTTTATTTCCAGAAATCCAAATTAACTCTTGCCCCAGCCTGATTTGCAAGTATTACTGCAACAGCTCACTGCATTTGACAAACCCATCACTACTTAACCATGTGTCTCTCCCCACATGCTGGGCAACAACTGTAAACTAAATGGAGAATGGCCAATTCTAACACATCCCTGGACCTGGCTCCTGATCAGAGTTGTTTGTTAAGGAAAACGTTATTTAAACATTTAGTGGGCACATGCGCGTACTATCTGACCACAGTTGCACAATATGATGTGACAATGGTTAGTGTGATCACAGACCCTATGTAGTGATGGCCAGACAATATCTAGCTCACAAGTTGCCATGACCTACACACAGCCAAGTCCTTCACTGTATATATTTCATGGTGTGTAGAGATAAAGGAAAAACAGACTTTGCTGGCTAACCTAATAATGAGGTTCAAGAGGAGTAGGGTAATACAGGCAGATTGGCAAATGCTGCACTTAGTGGTTCAAATTCAGGTTCAACATGCTTCATCAGCCCAGGTGTTCTTCTGCAGGCAGTGCAGCAACTGAATTTTGTTGCAGTCCTGGGCAGCCTTGTGAAATTTCTTCCTTTTTTTTTGCAGCAAAGAACAAGCTTTGGTGAGACAGCATGGCGTAGAAGCAAATATGGTCCAGTAGTGGTTTCAGTGATCCCAAAGTAGAGCGCTGACAACTGAGATGCTGGCTAGCCAGAAATCAGCAAGTTGGGCAACACGAACCCATTTTTATTTTGGGCAGGGCAGGTGGAAGTCTGTAAATCCAAGGCAGTGTCAACAGAAAGAAGAGATTGCCCAATGAAAGGAGACTTTAGAGCTGTGACTACTTATTATTTTAAATTTTTGATTTGTTCTTAGTTTCTTCCATTTTTCTAGTATTTTCTGTTAGCTGTGTAAGTTATTGTCACTACCCAGCTGGAGTTCCCCAGCCAGCATTTCTCTCAGTAAGGCAGGCTCTGATGTCTGGTCCTGTGCATCCTGCATATGTAGACTCTAAGCTTCAACACCCTCCTGACTGGAGCCAACCCTCCCTCCTACTGCTCGCCAAGGAAAAAGGTGAAGGCAAATAGCCTTAGGGATACCAGGCTTGTTTAAAATAAGCCCTCATTATCTGGCAGAAAGGAGAGGGAGCATAAATCAAAGTCAAAGCTGTGACTGACTATGCAAAAAAATCATATGACTGCAGCGTCCTCATGTGATTGTTGCTTTTTTGTTGTTATTAAATCAGCTACATTCCCAGTTGAAATGTCAGGTTTCGAAGCCATTCACAATTATTTTTTAAACCATGTGGGACATTAACTTTAATTGCACTCCTTTGTTTCAAGGTTGTTGATCCTAGAAGTGAAAAGTGACCTTCAAACACTGTTTTTCAGCACTGGGGGCCTGATCCAAAGTCTGCTGGGGAGAAAGGAGGTTTGAATGCTCATTCCCAACAGGGTTTTGAGAACCTCCAGAGGAAAACTGCGGACAACAAATGCCTCTTAATTAAAAACAAAAATTTATCAGCCTAAAAACAATAAAGTTGGTTAAGATGCAGTTTTTTGCCATGTTATTTGATACATGAAATTGTTACATAAATACTGAGTGACACTCCCAATAAGGGCCAGCTGGTGGAAATTATTCAGCATGTTGTAAATACACTTCAGGGGCACTGAGGATCAGGCCTGCGGTTAGAGGAATCCAAACCCACCAGGGCTGTGGTAATGACTAAAAGGTGGCTGTACTGTGATGCTCCAGTCCTTTGTGTTATCCCTCCTCATCTCCTGGGCCCTAGACAACACATTCCTGGAGGGTGGACACAGAAAATATTTCAATCTACTTGTGCTGTGGCTGTAGCTGATAGCATTACAAGTAAAGAGGAGAAACCTGGGTAAGAAAGGAAGAAGAGTTAGGAGGAACAGAGACGTGAAAGGAGTGAAGAGAAGAATAAAAAAGCCAAGGAAAAGCATGAGAAATGAAAACTGAAGGGACCATCCGAAAACTGAGCTGACTTCTTTAAGTGTCCCAGCCATAACAGGCTATGTCTGAAAATGAGTCCATCTGAAACACTGAAGAGTTGCTTGAAACTGGTTGATCATCATCATCAGATCTTAAATTAACTTTACAGTTTTTACATTATTATTCTTGGTCTCTGAGAAAAAGCTTCGCAGTTAAAACAACTGAAATGAATTGTGCAGCTGTAGAAGGAAGAGAAAAGATTCAAAATAGATCCTAAATATTCTCCTAGCAAAGAAACACATATTCAGAGACATTTAGGGCTTAATCTGACAAAGAAGTGGGTGGGTAGGAAGTACTTGGTACTTCACAGCTTCAGCGCCGTTATTAAAACTCATTGAGAAGATATACATCTCTGTTACCTGAAGGCCTGTCAGATGACAGGGTGTGAGCATATCATGTGTACCTACATGTCTAGACTATGACAGAGCTGGCATGTTCGCACCACTATCATAACGCCATCACTGCAACATGAGTACAGGAATTGTTAATTACTGCTCACAGGAACTTTAAAAAAAAAAAAAAAAAAGACAGGATTTGAAGAATTAACTTGACTTTTGGCCAAACTAGCAAAGGAAAATGAGGCAATCTTGTTTTGGCAACCAGGTACTTTTAGGTAAATGCTGTCTGCCATTACCAGTGGTCTCTCGAGGGAACTCTGCTTCAGGCTGGAGTGTCGGTTTAAATCCAGCTGGCAGCTAAACACCATGCAGCTGCTCACTCACCCTCCCCTGCCCAGGGCATGGGGAGTAAATTGGAGGGGTAAAGGTAAGGAAGGAGACTCCTAAATTGAGATAAAAAGTTTAATAATTGAAATAAAATGAAACAGTAATAACAATGATAGAAAATACAAATGGGTAATGCACAATGAGATTACTCACCACCTGCCAATCGATACACAGTCTGTTCCCGGCTAGCGATGCTGAAGAAGTCAAGATTCCCAAACCGCAATTCTAGAGGCAAGAGACAACCCCCACTTCCCAGCTGACCCTCTTCTATATACTGAACATGACATTACATGATATGGAATATTCCATTGGCCAATTTGGGTCTGGTGCTCTGGCTCTGCTTCCTCCCAGCTTCTTGTGTAGCTGCACATGGGCAGGACATATAGGGAGTTGGAAAGTCCTCGATTTCTTAGCAAGAACTGAAAACATCAGTGTATTATTAACATTCTTCTCATACCAAATCCCATACTGAATCCACAACACAGCACTATTTAGCTACTAAGAAGAAAAATTAACTCTATCCCAGCCGAAACCAGGACATGGACAAATTTCCTGGGAAGAAATCATGTTTGTCTCATTTCACATGTGGCAGTGGCCATCAGCTGACTGAACTGAACATGTAGCTACAAACAAAGCAAGCTACATTAGCAGTGTGCAGTCTTTCTTGTTTTATAGGGGGAAAAAAACCAGCTCTACAAAAGCCCCTGATCAGTTTATAGCACCATCCAGCTCAGTTTGTCACCGAAAAACAAATTAACACTTGCAACTGAACAAGGAGGCTTTTAGTAATTCCAGCACCTTCAATTTTTGCTTTTGTGGTAGCTGAAGCTATGCATTTCACCATTTTTTATGGGAAGGTATTTACTTTCTCCAAATTCCTGTGCTGGGGTTGATGTTTTCCAAACTTGGTATAATTCTGGAGATTTTTTTTGGTGAAAAAAGTAATTTTTGGCCTGATGTTCTCTAGATAAAAGACTCAAATGAGCATGCCAGCTCTCTGCTTTTTTAAGGGTGTCTTTCTGTTAGTCCCTCCCTAGAAATGCTAAACTCACTGCTCAGTCACAGCCATGTGTGTGACAGAGTGCCTCAAAACACCTCATAAATACAGTTTGTGGGGAAGGTAAGGGAACCCAGGAAATCATCTGTAGTGCTTTGCCATCAACAAATCCTCATGAGAGCTCAGCTTTGAGCTACAGACACAGAGAGTACCCTGATCCACTCATCCCCCACAGGTGGACTTGGCTTCCCTGCCCATGAGAACTCTCACTCATTCGTGCAGATGAGCAGCAGCTGACAACAGAGCATCATAACAGATACCAACCCTTCAGGCTGCACCATGCATCCTTTTTTAAAGGTGTGTAAACAAAGAAAGTTTATTCAATGTCTCTAGGCAGGTATTGTGTTTTTTTTAACTTGTGGTGTCACTGCAAAGAGGAGGTGAAGCTATCCTGGTAGCCCCAGTTCTCTGCTGCTCTAGTCTACGGTCTTCCAAAGGCCTCTGTAAGTTTCTGCCTCGCTCTGTGTGCACCTCAGGTGACTCACCTTCAGGTTTGAAGCTGCCACAGTTCATTTACAGTCCGGACACTGGTTTTGCTGTACTACTTTTCTCATACTGATTTAATGAACTGTTAGTTATGTGGCTTATATTCACAATGATTCATCAAGGCACAGTCCTCTTCCAATCAGGAGAGCAGGTAATTGCATGATTATGACTGTGTGAGACCCATATTTTACATCATATTATAATGAAATCCATTCAGGTCTCCCTGTTGCTCAGAGAGGTTTTAAAAGATAGGGTTTGTATCATTCAGCTCAAGAGAGAGCAACCAAACTGTTGCTGAAGAGCTCTGTCCTCTCTAAAGACAGTCACTGATCTTTTGGCTAGGAAAAAGAGAAAAATGTCTTCAGAAAAAAACAATCCAGGAACAATCAAATCAGCAAAATCCAACAAAAAAAAGTGATGTATCAAAGAGAATAATCTTTACATCTGCTGTGTATTTATTTTGGTGGGAGGACACTGAAGGAGAAGTAGTCTTACAGCCAAAGTCTTCTCCTTTAAAGCTTTTCTAAGAAACAGTGTAAATAGAATGTACTCAATTCTACTTTATTCTCTGTATATAGTATGTTTCACTTATTATGGACTGGGGATAAGAGTTCAGTACAGAAGCTTAGTTGTTTTATGGTCCA